GTCCCAGTTTTTGCTATTCATTAACTCAGTTACCATGGAAAAATGTTGATTACATTTTCTATAACTCACCTTTTTTCTTTTGTCTGTTTTTTTTTTTTTTTTGGTTTGTTTGCTTCTTTGTTTTGTTTTTTGGTTTTGGATGGGATATTAATCTGTACCACACAACATTGTTGCGATACAAAATTTTAAGTGCCTTGTGTGGTCTTATGCATAATACACACTCCATAAATAATAGCTACTTTTTTATTATTAATTACTGTTGTGCCTCTAATTAGCTGATCTGACTCTATGGCATATATTGCATGCAGAAGTCATTGTATAGACTTTGCTACTGCATTTTTGATTCAGTGATTCATGTGGGAGATTCAATTTTTAACTGCAAGCTGTGTTGCCAAAAATAAATTTTGAATTTACAAGTCTGAGAAATATCTTTTCCCTGCATGTCACTTGGAAATTCTAAAAAAGGAAGCTTTTTCTAGTCTCTAAAAACTGCTGCCTAAAAAGAGAAAAACAGCGTAAAGATTCAATTATCTTTTGACCTGAAGTTTGTGTACAAAATTCATTTTATTGTATCAAATAAATATAACTCTATAGTAATGTAGATCTAGTAAACTAAAAAATATAACTCCATGTTTCAGATCATAGAAAAGACAAAATTGATATGTATTCATTTAATCACTAAGGAATTTTTTAAGAACTCTTAACCGGAAGTTGGAAAGATAAGTTGGTTTAATTCACAAAACAATATATAATTTAAAAACATCATAGAAAATTCTAATTCTTTGCATACCTATATATTTAATAAAATGTTATTATCCAATACCCAATTAGTAGCTATCTTGATAAAAAAAAGTGGAGAGCTAGGGGCGCCTGGGTGGCTCAGTTTGTTAAGCATCTGCCTTTGGCTCAGGTCATGATCCTAGGGTCCTGGGATCAAGCCCCATATTGGGCTCCCAGCTCAGTGGGAAGCCTGCTTCTCTTTCTCTCTCTCTCTCTGCAGCTCCCCCTGCTTGTGCTCTTTCTCTCTCTCTGTCAAATAAATAAATAAAATCTTAAAAAAAAAAAGCGGAGAGCTAAGCCTGCTATAAGATTATCTACGTTTTCTAATATGTGGACTATGCTTAGTGTTAATCCAGCCCCCTACTCTTATAGGTCACAGTCAATTTAAGGAGCAAATAAGACAAAACTTCAAACAAAAGTAAATTTTAAATAGATTTATTTCTTGACAAAGAATAATGACAAAAATATACTCTAAAGCCATTAATGAAATATACTTACACAATTCATTTTAGATATATTAGGCTGTCCTCACATGCAAAGCAAAATGCACTCAGTTTTTAATTACATCGTCAGTTTTTCTTATTCCCTATTTTTCCTTAATTAATTGAACAAATATGCATCGCTTATATAATGCATACATACTATGTTAGCAATGCTATAGGGGTAGACAAGAAGAATCACTTTTCTAGTTTCCTACTAAAAAACTTGCAATCTAGTAGACCTTGTGTGCCCATCGCCCACGAGTACATTATCAGTCAGGAAAACAAAAGCAGAGGCTGAAGTTTTGAGCGTTAAGTGATACCTTTTTAAAGTACATGATTTTCACACCTTACTGGAAAGAAAGAGCAAAAGATTGATTATTTGGGCAGTTAATAGTGCAGCTGCATTTTTTATATTAGTGTTATCACTGATGAATGATTCTATTTCATTGATTTTGGAAGCTGCTCATAGCGGAAGAAGCACAAGTTTTGAAGCTGGGCTGATCCTGTGTCTTCCTGGTGCAGGGAGTGGGGCAGGGGGAGAGGGGTTGGAAGAAGTGGGGTGCTGGGGAAGGCAGTGCATGTGCCTTTGACAAGTCACTTTACCTCACTTGAGAAAAATGGGGATAATGACAAGTACCTTCTGGATAGGACCAATGTAAGAAATTAGAGAAATTAAATGCAATGCACCCGTAATAGTTTTCATGGTTGATCCTCAAGAAATTCCTAGCAGTAAGCCAGGGCCTTGTGGTCTGTGACCTGAACCTTTTTGGAAATGTTCTATTTGGCCTTCACAGTGTCCTTAACACACACACACACATACCACACATGATATATCCAGAAAGGCAGGCAGAGTATAGGTACCTTGTCCAGGTCTCATTAACTCTACCACTTCCTATGTTGCATGTTTGCTGCCTAATGTGTTATACATTTATATTGCCAGCCTGGCTCTTGAAACATTTGTTTGCAACCTCCCTTTAGAGGTGAATGATGAAAGATATTCTTTTCTCATGAATCTCTTCTAAAATATAACTACATAAAAATTTTTACAGCTGATAAGATTTGTTGTATTTTAAAAGAATTCCAGGTGATAGCAGAACTCCTTACCAACTAGAAAAGGTTCCTCATAAAAGAAACGTGGCATCAGATGATCGATATTTTCCATCTGACTTAGCTCTTTGTCACCTACAACCAAAGACTATGGGAGAATTAAGGGGTTATTTTTACATAAACAATAAGAAAGGGGAACTGGAGATACTGGGCTCTACCTGTGACACTGGATTAGATAAACATGAAGAGACAAGGTAGGAGAGGATTGCTAGATGAAAGGAAAACAGCTAAGTCTCTGGGACTAAGACAATGAAGAAATTACAAAGAGTGAGAGCTCAAGAAAAAACGTTGATGCTTTACTAGCCAGAAATCTTAGTGTTTCCAAACAGGGATATAGAAGAGTGGCAAACCTTCAGCTATTTTATAAATTCTCTGACTTTGGGTTGGAAGGAATGAAAATGAGAGATGTATCTTTGAACGATCAATTCATATAAAGGTGTAGAGAACACAGTATCATCATTTGTGTGGTAGTAAAGCCGTCTCGCACTTCATGGATCATCTATCTTTTTCTGAGACAGTAGATACTGTTTTAGTACACATTCTAATCTCATCTGTGCCTTTTGATATTTACACCAAACACTTATAAATATCCATTCTCTCAACAAATAGTTTTTGAATGCCTATTATTATATGCCCAGTAGTTGTGTAGGTGATTAGAATAAAACAGTGAACAAAACAAGACAAAACAAAAATTCCCAGCCCTTATGAATCTTTATGTACAGTGGAGAGGGGGTATATGACAAACAAGTAAATCAGTATAGTACATATTGTGTCAGATGGCAGTAAGGGCTATGAGATAAAACAAAGAAAATGAAAGAAGAGGGAGAGTATATATGTGCAAATAACAAGGTTAGGGAACACTTCACTGAGAAGAAAACATTTGCGCAAAAGGAAGAGGGAAAAGAAAATGCAACAGAATAGGTGTGGCTAGTTTGAGAGGCCATCTTCACTGAACAGATTGGGATGAAGGAGTAGGAGGTGATTTCGAAGAGGTCAGGAAGGTGGTAGTGGAGATCGCACATGGCTTGTAGGCCACTGCAAGGACTTGGATTTTATTGTAAGTAGGGTACATAGCCATTGAAGCAGGAAATTAACTTGAGCTGACTTACATTATAAAAAGTCACTCAGGCTGCCATGTTGAGTATAGACTGAAGTGGGTCAACAGCGGGAGGAGGACCAGCCAGGAGACTATTGTGATAATCCAGTGAGAGATGATGGTTGTGTGGAATAAGGAAGAGCCATGAATACTTCGAGAAGAGGTCACATTATTGATATCCTGAAGTTGGAAGTAATAGATTTATGGCTGAATCAAATGAAGTGTGAGTGAAACAGAGGTACCAAGGACAGCTCCAAGGTTTTTTGATCTGAGTAAGGATAATGGCCTTGGGGACAGCTGGGATGTGTAAGACTACAAGAAAGTCTGGTTTCTTGGGGGTGGGAGGATAATAGGAAAACAGTCCTGAATATGTTAATTTTGAGAATATGTTAATTTTCCAGGCATCTGGCAATCAGGATATAGGATATGCTGGAGATACAAATTGAGAGTCATAAGGCTGTGGGTGGTTTTTGGAGCCATGAGACTGCATGAACTTAGCAGACGAGTGAAGGTAGACTGAGAAGGGAAGGCACCACAAGTCTAGGGAAAGTAGAACCAATGAAGGAGCCTGAGAGGAGGGTAGAAAGTAAAGATGGATGAAAATCAGAGGAGTATAGGGTGCTTTTAGCCAAGTGAAGAATTATTACGGGGAGTGATGATTAGATCCAGTGCAGCATTCAACAACACGGAAATTAGCAATGACTTTGGTAAGAACAGTTTTGATGGGATGTTAGAGGCAAAGAATGTAAAATGGGCTCAAGAGGGAATGGGAAGAAAAGAAATGAATATATGCAATAGAGTCAACTTCAATAACAACTAGTTAATTATATACGAAAAATATTTAAAAAGATAAAAAATATGTAATTTAAAAGAATATGTAAAAATGAAAAAGGTGAAAGGTTACCAAATAAAATTTCCACAAATACAGGTAATTTTCTTTTTAATTAATAGAGCGAAAAGTGAGATTCTAAGTATTTCACCTTAGCTGGTAAGATGATTAGGTGAGGTTACAAATAAAACATCTCCTTGTATCTTTTTGCAGTAACTTTGAAGTACTCTATTAAATAGATGAAGTGACGTTATGTCTAGGAAGAACCAAAGATATAGAGAAAGAAAGGTTCCCACATTCACATTCACTGGCACTCACAGAAACAACACCAAAATAAAAGGGGGAAAATATAAAGTAGCGAGTTTGAGTATTCCTATATGCTAAGAGTGTGGCAATTCATTATTCATACCCACGTCTAAAGTTATTTAAAATTAGCAGCTTAAAAATGTTAAAAATTCATTACAAACTACAGAAAGTTTTTACCCTGTCTGTAACTTGATACCAAATTTTCTTTGTATACCTATTTAAAGGTTGATGAAGTAAACTCTTTCTTGCCTTTGTGGACACGTTTTGTAACTAATACAGTGCATCCCAAACCATGGTCTTCTGCGATGTAAACATTATATGCCATTAGAGGAGATTTGGAGAAAGCTTCTCAGAAGCAGGGTTCAGAAAGCAAAGGCGGAAAGTGTTGTGAATCACTTACCTCCCTAATGTCCCTTTGATACTTAGTGTTCATTTCTTCAGTTTTAACGAGATCCTTTCTTGCTGTCTCTGCTTCCTGTTCCACCTCCCCCACTCGGGAAGAAAGGGCTGCTAAACGTTCTTTCATTTGAGCCATTTCATAGTTTTGCTTTTCAAGCAATTCTTGTAGTTCGACTATGTGACTAGTTTCATCAGTTGAGTCTATAGAACCATTGGACAAACGCTGCAGGAAACGAAAAAGAAATGGCACTTGGGATATTCTCCATCTTCAATTTAAAATTCATGAACTTAAATGAAACTGATAGAGCTTTCACAGTGAGAAATAAGAACTCTAACTAGTTTTGAAGAAAAACTAAGTTTTTAGGAAAACTCTTAACAGACATTAAATATAAAGGTAGATCAGTAATTTTCAAATAGCTTAACAGATGCATTTGAATTGGAAGCTGTAAATATATATATATATTAACTTCACACAAAACACTGGTGTATCCTAAACATTTAATAAATGGCAGCTATTATTTTATCAATTATATTCAAAAGTTATTATAAACAATATTTTACTTATATAAACAGTATATTATTACTAAGTAATACGAAAGAAGACAGAAACTGTAATATTTTCTATTTTTATTCAAGATCCTGTGTGCATTTGCCAAGTTTTATTTTCAATGACACTCCAAAAGAACTTACACACATTTTTCTTTTAAAGAAGGTTATTCCCGGTATGAATCTGACCTAGCTGGAACAAAAGTGTAATGTAAAAAAAGCCTTGATTTCTATATTGCTAAGAACATAAAAGTCCTGAGTGCACACAACCCACAGGAAGGAGGCTTAAGAGGATTAAATACTTTGAGACTGATTTCCCCCCTTGCTGCCTAGAAACAGGGTGACCCATGTGTTCAGAAGCATGTCCTACAGCCCAGCTGCATTGGAGAAGCTTTGTGGTGAAGACAGTGCAACCACTGGGGACAAACAGCACTAAAAGAAAAAGAGAAATGAAGGCGGGGAAATCGTGGGGGAGATGAACCATGAGAGACTATGGACTCTGAGAAACAAACTGAGGGTTCTAGAGGGGAGGGGTTGGGGGGATGGGTTAGCCTGGTGATGGGTATTAAGGAGGGCACATACTGCATGGAGCACTGGGTGTTATACGCAAACAATGAGTCATGGAACACTACATCAAAAACTAATGATGTAATGTATGGTGATTAACATAACATAATAAAATTTTAAAAAAAAGAAAGAAAAAGGGCAAAACTAAGTCAAAATAAGAAAATGATGATGCACTTTGCTTTAATCTAGATGCAAATAACGAATGCCAAATTAAAAAAAGATAAACATAAAAAAAGAAATAAGTTGAGAGAAAGCAAAGAAAGTACAGTTAATTTTGCTATAGTGCTTGTTTGGAAAACATGCATCTGTTTTAATACAACAGATACAAGAAACAATTTGAATATTATATAAATTTTGCGTTGTCTTTTTTTAATACATTGAAGTATAGTTGACAAGCGATGTTACGTTAGTTTCAGGTGTACAACGTAATGATTGGACAGCTCTGCATGTTATACTATGCTCTAAATTTTGTGTTTTCTTATGCACTATTCATTCCTGAGAATCAGTGGCTAACCACAGAAACCTATAACTAACTGAACTGAGCTTTGTAGGAATACACAAAATAGACACATGCACGTTCCTCAAACATCTAACATCACCTCAGTTTACCACATGCTTTGAGTCAAACCACCCCCAACTGTGTTATAATTTTCTGTCTGATTTCAATTAGCAATAATCGCGCCTCGGATAAACCTCATTGGCTGCGATACTGCCACTGAGCAAAGCTTTCCTGTCTGATTTCAAATACCCCTCCTTCCACCACTTCATATAATGCACAAACCCTGAGACACATCCAACACCCAAACTTCAGGTCTTTTTCCAAGTAAAGAGTCATATTTATAGTATTTATGCAATTCTTGACTATTTAACCTATAAAACTGTGCTACATTTTTAATTAGTTTTCTATCTCTTTGTTTTACGCCATTGATAAAATTGTGACACAAACTCCTATTCTTCCGCAAGCCCTGTGTTTTTTTATTGTGCAATTTTGCCCAGCTCATAACTTTCAGGAATGCAAATGACACATTAGAGCAAAACTGACTGACTGCAGGAGAAAAGAGGGAGAACAGAAAGCACCAAAAAAAGCAATGAGAAAGAGAAAATAGAAAGGAAATGCAGACAAATGGCAAGGAGTGTTTAAAAAGTTCAATAACCAACACATGGAGAAACAGCCTGGAAAATCTAAATTAAAATAGCAGAAAAGATGGAGTTAGTCTTAAGATGGTATCTAAAGATGCCAGATCTACAGACCTAATACCTTGAAGATATTGCTGAACTCTTATATTGCAGACACTGAACATCTAATTATCTAGCACAACAAGTAAGAGGTGTTGCAAATACGTAGGAACATCGGAGATGCTGCTGAGATCCAGATACTCCTTCAGCGGCTCCCATTGCTGAGATGGCTGCTTGCTGAGGGATCAGAAGAACTCTTTCCAAAGTTATGCCCGCCCCCGAGGCATGCAATATCACATACAAAGTAGAGGAACTGTGAAGCTAAAGAAAAACCAACTTTCTAGACAGTTTTTATGGGCATAAATTGCAAAAACATTGATAGGGACCTTTATACAGGACACAACTATCTGTGCATTGAACTGAGAAAAGCCAGTTTATAATCCTTAGGCAGTAATTGAGACGGTTAAGCGTCTGCCTTTGGCTCAGGTCATGATCCCGGGGTCCTGGGATTGGGGTTCTGTGATCGGGGTCCTGGGATTGAGGCCCACATGGGGCTCCCTACAGGGAGCCTGCTTCTCCCTCTGCCGCTTTTTGTCTCCCTCTCAAATAAATAAATAAGATCTTTAAAAAAAAAAAAAGAAAGAAAAAAAAGGCTAGAGCCAATTGCCAGTCAATTATGTCCAAATTTGGTATTACTGAGGCATGATATGACAGGGTTGGTTTTTTTTTTTTTTCATAATAGCAAATATCTTTGAACTCTCTATACTACTCACAAGTAACGAGGCAAGAGTAAGCTTTAATAGAACTTCTAACTCCTTACATTGAGGACTTTCTCTAGTCATCTTAAAAAAGACGATTTTTAGAAACTATAAAAATCACTAGAAAACAAATTTTTGCTTTTAGAAAATATTTTATATAACTGGAAAAAAAATACACTTAGAATTCTAGAGCCCTGGAGAACTTGAGAGAAAGTGAGACTCAGGTAATCACACACAGCGGATTTGAATTAAAAGGCAGAACTTTGAATTCCCAGTTTAGTTCATCTAACCTTTACCATATTGCCTTTACTCAGAACATGTAAATCAACAGGATACACTTATACATGCTATATGGTATAGACAAGTACCAGGAATGTAGTGTGTGTGTGTGTGTGTGTGTATACGGAATATACTGTATACACACACACCACACATTCGACAAATATTTGTTCAGTCAACTGAATCATGTTAATTTTCTAATTAGAAAAATGATTATTCCAATTCTGTGCACCTGAGGTCCATTAAAATCTTGTTTAAAAATTGCATATTTTTAACAGGCTCAAGGCAAGAAAAATTTAATTAAATATAAACAGTAATCAGGCAACTAAAATAAAACACTTAAAATGTTAACCTTTTTAATTCCTTTAGCAACAGATGTATACTACAACATCTTTATACTACTTTGACTACCCATGGGAAAATTTTTGAAACCTCAGTTTTTTTCTGAAGTGTTTATAAATCGTTTATGCTTAAAGATGTGTAACATTTCACCTATTCAAACCTCCTTAAATATATTCTGTGGTGAGCTTAATATATATTTCATAATTACAGAGTAAAAGGTCATATAAAAACTATGATTAATATCTTAGAGAAATAATACAACTTTTGTTCCAAATCATTGTTATGTAGACTTATCTTTAAAATAAATTGTGGGATTTGAACTGAAGTGACAAATTATTGAATTAAAAGAAAACTCAGTGGTTATTTTAAATAGCTTTATTGAGATACAATTTGTATCCATAAAATTCATCCATTTAAAGTATAAATGTCAATAATGTTTTCTATACCTAAAGAGGTGTACTATCAACATAATCTAACTTGGAGAACATTTTCATCACCCCAAATAGAAACCCCTTACCCATTAGCAATCATTTGCAGCTGACCCCCACCTCAAGCCCTAGGTACCACTTAACTACTTTCTGCCACAATAAACCTGCCCATTTGGTACCTTTCACATAAATTGAATCAGAATAGATAGCCTTTTGTGACTGGCTTTATTCTCTGAGCATAATGTTTTTGAGACTCATTCACGCTGTAGCTATTATCAGATTTTTTTATTGCTGAATAGTGTTCCACCATGTGGATATACTACCTGTTATTTATATATTCATCTGGTAACAGACATTTAGACTGTTTTCACCTTTTGGCTACTGCGAATAATGCTGGTATGAGCATTTGGGTACAAGTCTTCGTGTGGATGTATGTTTTATATTCTCTTGGGTGGATTCCTAGGAGTAAAATAGCTGGATCATATGGTAATTCTACATTAACATTTTGAAGTACTATTTCCCAAAATTGCTGCACCACTCTACATTCCCACTCACAATGATGTGACTTCAAATTTCTCATATTCTCACCCAAACCTGTTATTGCTTTTTTAAAATTAAAAAAAAAAAATTTAAATTCAAGGCCAACATATATTAGTTTCAGATGTAGCGTTCAATAACTCATCAGTTGCGTATAACACCCAGTGCTCCTCACATCACATGACCTCCTTAATTACAGCTACTCTAGTGTGTATGTATCTTGTGGTATCTCCTTGTGATTTTGATGTGCACTTCCTAATAGCTAATGATGTGGAGCATCTTTTCATGTGCCTATTGGCTTTTACATATCTTCTTTGGGGAAATGTCTATTCAAATTCTTTACTCATTTACTAATTTAGTTATTTGTCTTTTTATTAATGAGTTATAAAAATTCCATATAAATATATATTTTGGATACAAGTCCTTTATCAGTTATATGACTTGCCAATAGTTCTTCTCAGTCTATGGATTATCTTTTCACTTTCTTGATGGTGCTGTTTGAAATGCAAATGTTTTTATTTTTAATGAAGTCAATTTATCATTTTTCCCCTTATGCCTTGCACTTTTGGTGTTGTATCAAGAAATTATTT